GCGGGAGACGAGACGGAGGTTGGCGATTTCTGTCGGCTTGAGGTAGACACATATCATGTGTACGAGTTCGGCGGGGAGCTTATTGATGGGAAAGTCGATGGATTTTGGGGCTGATGGTCGAGCAGGTTTGCGGACAGCTTTAGGGCGCCGCAAATCGGTTGCTGCATGTCGTGTATTGTTTTTCGCCATGATTTTGAGTGAAGAGTCTGCCAGGAGATTCGAAGATTGATGTGAGAATATCAAACATAAGTAGTTGTTCCAATGTGGGGGAAGTCCAGCATAATTGGCGCGTCGCGCGCGTATTCGTAGCGGCTTGGCAAGACTGCATAAATGCATGAGGAATACATAATACTGAACGTTGCCCCTACTCACTCAGAACTCAAGCGGGCGTGGTCACTTTAGCGAGTGAGACTATAACACACTTCACTCACTGGACCCACACCTAAGTCGCTCGGCCTGACTTAGGTGGTCCAGCGATGATCAAGAAGATAGGGTTCAAAGGGAAGGGACGCATTTTCCTTCTCTACAAATCTTGCTGTGTAATCAGACTCGCACTCTTCATTTTAAGGTCTTCTCCTTGCTCTATCAAAATACAGATCAGAAATGAAAACTCACATTGATTGACTGTTGCCATTTTCTCTACATCGATCCCTCGTTCATATGAGCTGCAACGTCTCTTCGAATTAGCGTCCTCGGTCGTTCGAAGACTTATCGGGAGATAGGACTAGAGAGGGGGGATATGCATAGGGATATAGAGAAAAATACAATGCACATATCAGAATGGGCTAGACATGGAATTATGTGTCCTCATCTACTTATTGCATCCGTTGCCTTTCTCCCTACCTTCACGCACACAAGCCGAGAGCATACCGATACAACGCTCGTATCTCTTCTTCTATCAAGTCTATTTGCCAATCCACTGAGCCTTCCACCACCCACCCTGTCATTGCCGCTGCTTCTCGAGCTCCAACCAAAGTCGAAAAGGGTAGGGAATCGACGCCAACATCCTCCTCAACCTCTTTCTGACAAGTCCACTTGTAGATGTAATCGTCCTGTAGCTGAGGCGAGACGAAGTAGTAGTAGGAGGCGATATTGGAAGTCCTTGAACATTCACTGCCAACATGGCCTTGAATCAACGAAGGAAGGGTCAGATACGGCCACTGCAATGTGCTAGGATTGACGTTGAGAAGGAGCTGGCCCCGCCAACACTGGTCGGACCAACATCTGCCGGACCAACATTTGCCGGACCAATACTTGTTGTCAGCAATGCTAAGCCTCAGATTAGGTAGATCTTCATGCGGACGAGAAGCAAGGACGAGAATGCTGAGGTTGTCCAAGCGCGGTCGCAGTTGACGAAGCACATTCGCTGTGGCACTATCGGCTGGGAAGTCCTGGATGCGCCCATTACCGGTCAACAGGTGGATAATGAGGGTGCGAAGCCGCGGGCAATGCCGCGCAAATGCCGTGATTTGTTTGGAAAGCACCGCGTCGGTATTTCCAGGGTTAATTACCTCCAAATCCATGCTCAGATTCACCATGAGATGTAAGTTGTCGCTGAAAGGAGGCATGGCCCCCTCCCGTACAGGCGTGTCGCTGTCCGCCGGAAACTCAGGATTGGAAATTTTGATCTTAGAGAGCCCTCCAGTAGTCGATGAACAATGGAAGGTCTGGCTGGCATAGAAGATAGGAAGTGCTTCCTGGTAAATTTTTTGGCAGGTGAACAATATGCTGCTGTCGAACGTGTGTGTAAGCCTCTTGATCACCTTGTCGTCATCGATACCGGCTCGGCGGCGGAGAAGGTACGTGGCTGGAGTTTGGAAAAGGTGTTTGTAGACTATGAGACGGAGCTCGGGCGCGATGGTCGTAAAAGTAGACCCTTGTGGTTTGAGAAGGGAGGTGCGAGTAAAAAGGTCTTTGCCTGGAGAAGATGAAGCAATGAATTGCTCTTGGATTGATATGGAATTGGTCACTGGTTGCTCTTGATTCGAATTGGACGAGTCATGGGTTTGCTCTCTCACTTGAAATTGTTTTCCCGCACAATGCTCTTCGGTTGGCTGGGATGAGCCTGCCGACTGACTTATAGAAGCCATGATCAAGGTAATGAGGTCGGGGAGATTAGAGGCAAGGTAGGGTATAGGACATTATCAATAGGCTTGATCGGTCCTAGACGTGGTTGAATGAATGAAATGGAGGTGGTTGATTTGTGTAGTTATCCAAATTGCTAAACGCTTGAAATAGTCGCGAGTGACGCCGATTTGACGCTATGTCTAATCGGGCCTGTGTTGGCTATGTCTTAACAATCCCCTTTCAACTCTGCGGATAGTACTATCGATTAGGCCCTAGCAGAACGAAAGGGGCACAGGTGAACTTTCGGTATGCAAAGCCTTCCCCCTATTCTATAACACTGCCTCAAGCTAATCAGAGATACTAGCGATGAAGAGTAGTGGACTTGGTGAGGGGAGAGAGCACGCTTTGCACGGCCTTATCACCGAAGTGGACATTTTTGTAATACAAATGCAGTGGTTGACACAATAACAGAGCTGACGGGAGACCCATTATAAGTGTCACTAGTTGCTGTCGGGGAAAGCCTGGCCATCCGTGTGACGGATTGTGCTTTCTTGCATCACATATGAGTGTTCTATACACTTTTTCGAAACGCTATTTGGTTGACTAGCCGATCTTCATGCAATTTTTGTTTAATCAGCTCGCAATCTGAGCGTGCTCCATGTAAACAGGCTGGTGAAACACAGATGCATTCCTGAGACGTACATCGAGAACATGGTGACGATGGCAAATTCAATATCTCTCGCGTGTATCTGTGGTGGGCGGCTCGAACGCATATTAGAGTCCAGCTAGCATCAGATCCCTATAAATCCGAGCCCTCCCGCAGGACCGGTTTTATCAACTCTCTCCCCCCAATACGAACGTGCGGTCCAATGCAAAAAGACAAGATGATTGCCAGTCGCTGTGGTACAAGATCACTAAGGTCCTTGGAAGGTGTTTAATGCGTACCACTTGTAGCAATTAAAGCGACCCAAAGTGAATCAGATGATCCATATCCTTACTGGTCAGCATTTTATGGGGTTTCTTACCATCCGATCGACCCACGAGCCAATAAATACAAGCAAGATTAGTGAACGGCAAGGAGCTCGGGGCTTGGGCCTGGCCTGAGAATTCAAGTCGCTGAACCTCCTTCAGTACTGTGCAACATAAATTTGCACCTGACAGCTTCTTCACACGGTCCGGTCGTTGTATAACCCAAAGCCAAGTCGAAGTACGAGATTGTCAACCGTGGGTCAGCATCGGGCTCTTTCTCAGCGATGTCATGCCTTACCATTATATTGTATGTTTGTAGACTAGATACAGTTGTCTTGCTATCATTGATCTCCGCGGCCGAGCATTCAAGATCTCGGTAGGTCTCAGCTAACAAGAACTCAATCCGAGACACTGAGGCTGAATTATCGCCAGTACCACCAGCGTCTATAGTACTCACTTTCCCTGCCTTCATGTTACATACTCTTCATATGTTTCCACCAAGTCTTCGTCTGATGCAGCTCCAAACCTAAAGGGTCCTTCTCTGATCAAATGTATATTATCCTTGAACACCTGTGTCATCCTAAAAGCCGTATTCGCCCTCCAGGCTCTCCCATCCCAGCACGATCATATGCGCCTTCCCTTTCGGTTTCCCTCATATGCCCCATCCTCAATGATTCACCCTTCTAATACCCCTTAAACTTCTTCAGTCTCTCTGAAATCTCTTCAATACTCTGACTGTCTTTACGTCGAAACCCCTGTTCTCTTTTCCATCATACCTGATAGAACATTAACTTGCAGCGATGGTGAACCCATATGCTCTGTTTCATCAAGGAGCTGTTGCCTTCAAAATGTAGTCTATGCCAGGGAAAAGGCCCATACATGGCTACCAACTATTTTGCCACACCTTCGAACAATGACCACTGAAGGCTCAATTGCCACCTGTGGATCCCACAATTCGGGCATCGGCTCTTCGGTTCATGGCATCTCTGACTTGACAACCTAGGGAAAGGTGAGACTTCGGGGCCGAGCTCCCGAAGTGGTTGCTCATATTCGTGCTACTTGGGTTAATAATGCCATAAATCACGCTGACGAATCCATATTCTCAAATCTATCAAAGTGCTATTGACTTCAAAATGTAAATTGCGGCAGGGAAAAGGCCCATGCATCTCTATCAAATATACTGCCACACCTTTGAATAACTACCACTAAAGGCCTGTCACCTTTGGATCCGGTAAACACCTGTGAATAGTTCTCTCAGGCACCTCTAGAACAAATTCGTTCTCAGTACTTCTCGTCCATTGTCGTCTCTCGGGCTTCCCCCTTCCATTATCGTGTACTACTGGTGAGGATCTCGTCGTTCTTCTCGAGGCAAATGTTCACGTGCTGTGCACCTGCTACTTCCCATACTTAGAACCCTATATTAAGAGCACCTGCACTGCTTTCGCAGGGTTTCTCTTTCGCCTTTATTCTTCATCCAAAGCAACGCCTTTCTTCATAATTTACTCACTCCATTATTCCTGAACCGTATCGTGCCCCTCGAGAGTCTCCGAGCCAAAGACATGGACACCAAGGTTGAAAGTACATCCGCCGAACCCTCGCAACCGGTGCCGCGTCCCACGAGACCGGCTCCGAAGCCGCCGGGGACTCCCAAACTCTAGGCGTTTCAGCTCGGGCTGGGCAGCGTATCTTGGGGGGTTTCCTGGGCGAAGGATGGTGATTGAAGGGTATTGAACCTTGATCGATTTGCAGATGAAGGTGGTTGAATGCCTCTCAGTGGGTTTGGATGAGAAGCATGCTGTGAATAAGGAAGAGACATGGCAGTGCAGTCTAATTGACCAGAGCATAACCTCTACGCGGGTCGAAAGCGACCCAATGCATTAAAACGGCCAGCTCCTCACGAACCACTTGAGTAGTCCCCGCGTTGATGTGATGAGACGATATTTATAGGGAACCTACTTGCAACATCAATCCTCCAGTTCCTTCCCCTCACTCTCGTCGTCATCATGCCCTACCAATGTCCCCTCCGTACCCGTCCGTATGCCCGTTTCAATCTTCACAAACCCCTGCTTCATCGTTTCATCCTCTCGAGCTTGCTCATCCGTCCCCACAGCTACCCTTTCGCTTCCGAATACCTCGGAAAGATCTGCCATGGCGAGCTCATCTGCTACAGCAACCGGGCGGCCTCTAACGTGAGTGCATCGGCCTTGCTCTTCATCTAGTATGTGTCAGCAGGCTCATCAATGAAGGAACGGACGGAAGGAAGGAAGGACGGAGCCCGACGTGCCCTCTTCATGCCTCAGCCTCCTCACTCTGCCTTGCCAAAGCGCAGTGATGCCGATGAAGAACATGACTACCCCGAAAAGGATCGTGCCGATGGAGTCAGGCCCCCATTGATTCTGATTGCAGCCACCGAACTGGAAGGCTGTGGGCTGCGGCAGGTGTGAGGGTTTCAAACTTGGGGTCACTGTGGACGAGGCGTTCAGGACCGGATGAGAGGCCATCGTGGCTTTCTTCGGAGTGTCAAGGAGGCCTCTGTCAGCGGTTTGCGGGAGGGTTTGTGTGTAGGTAGGGGAGCGGTAGGAGTGGGAGAGCAGCTAGGAGGATTCGCAGAAGACTGGGGTTCAGGAGGCAAGGCTACCTTCTTGTATTCTAAGTGGGCGCATAGGGACCAGCTGGTGGCAGATACACGCCAGCGTCGCGTACGCTCAGAGACCGAATTTCTGAGTGCAAGTCGCGAGCGAAGTCGCGTTGGCAAGCTACGGATGAGATATGTCGAAGGCTCTGTCGCTTGTCACGCTTACCGGGCTCGCGTCGCCTGACAATGACAATGACAGAGAGCGCGTAATTGCAAAAGAATAGGACACGTTCGGAGCGTATTCGATGTACGTCAAATGCAACGCAGTACCTCTCGAATTTGCATATCATCGTTACTCGTAAGCTGTCGTAAGGGCAGCGCTCAAAGGTATCCTGTCCGTTTCTATCACTTCGGTCAAACCCATCGGGCGAGCAAAATTATAAATCGGAACCTTAGAGCCAAATATTCCCACCCGTAATCCACATCTCGTTCGCGTTATTCGCGCCTGGGCCAAAATGATTTAGTGAAGTCCAGAGAAGTTTGTGAAAATACAAAATACGAGGTTAAGATGGAATTTGAGACAATAGAAAACATCGATCTGTCTTAGGCCATTTTGTTGGTATACATGCCACACATAGTGTAAAGGCGCATTCACGCGAAGCTGCAGACTTAGCAAAATCAGGTACAAACGTACAATGTAACATCATGCCGGGCAAAACGGTTAATACAATACATGACATTACAGGCTCAACGAAACAGCATGGGGGCAAATGAAGACGCTCCTCACCTCGCACCGAATGGGCCTTTCGGTCTCTCCGCTAGCTTGCCCAAGCGTTGCGCGAATTGAGTATGCGTTCCAAGCTTTGAGAATTTCGTGTGAAGCTTCGCCTTTTGTATAGCATCGCGCACGACTGTATTGGTCGTCTTAGTTGGAAGACACAGCACTGGCCAGGGGAATTGTTTTGCGGAGATCTCTGCGATGAAACAGTACCATGCCACAAAGTCTGCAACGTCATCATGACCTTTCTTATATACGTGTTGCAGTGTCGGTGCCAGTCCATCGGTTTGTTCATGCATGTTGGCCCCTGCCGCAAGTAGAAGCTTGACAGTTTCGAGATGTCCATTCTCTAGTGCTGCTTGCAGTGCAATACATCGAGTACTCCCCTCGCTCTTAAAGTCTGCTCCTCTTTCAAGAAGAAATCGAACAATATCACTGTAGCCGTTAGAGGCTGCAAGATCAAGTGCTGTGATCCCCTCAGAAGTACGCAAATTGATGTCCGAGTATCTGGTCGAGCAAGACCATAAGCGTCCTATGTGCGCCTCTACTGAGTCCCGCGTGTCGATATCCCAAACCATGCTATCTGTTTTCCCCTCGTTCATTGCTAAGTCTTTCGTCCAAGACTGATAGTATGGTTGTTGCACAATCGAGTCATATAGCTCCAACTCCCTCATGGAAGGATCGCGGCCATCAACCAGGTACTTGACAACATGTATATATCCATGAACTGCTGCTATATGTAGAGGTGTCTCATGGGTTTTTGGTATAATTGCATTCACGTTCGAGTTGTAGCTCATCAACAATTTCACCAGATCCAATCTGCCAGACTCCGTAGCAACATGTAGCAAAGTTTTTCCCGAGTCGATTTCAACAACGTCTACCTTAGAGCCGCACTCCAGAAGTGATTGGACCGCGTCTGTAAGTCCCCGAGCTACAGCGAGGTGAATCATTTCTACTGAATTATAGCTCGCTCTAGATGCAGAATGCGCGACCCCTCGCAAAATGATGTTTGCAGCCTCCGAGTGTCCACCTCCTACTGCAATAGCGAGCGGCGTTTCACAAAGAACGCAAGAACCACCCTTTGGGTCCATACCCATCTCCAGGCACAGTTGAGTTAGAGACATCAGACCATACGAAGCGGAAATTCGAAGGGTAGTATGAGCAATCTGGATGGAACGTCCACTGTTGGGTATTGAGAAAGACTGGCAATCGTAGTCAAGCCTGATAATTAGACAGCGCTGCAGTGTGCCGGCAAGAACCCTGCTGTAAGTCTCGGACAGACGATAATGGACAGACCAATTGGCAGCTGCATATCTAGTCAAGGTCGAGGTCATCCCTCCACACAGCTGCTGTGCGGTTTTTATGTTGGTCAAAGCTGAAGATGATTCCGCCCTTAAGAGTGAGCTCAGCAGTACCAAACAAGCCCGCGCAAGACGTTCGTGGGCTGCGAGTACCAGATGACGAGGATGGTTCGGCGACTCATCTGCAAAAAGAAGGTAGTCTCGCAAAGTTGGGTGTCTCAGTCTAACAATGCGTTCCTCGGTAATGGTCACAAGCCATCCGCAAATGCGGTAGATTTCAGCTTGTGAATTGGGTAGGCTTAGCTCGTCGCCAGTTGATGGCGGCTGCTCAGGAAGTTGAGATTGTCCAGCTTTGATCGCCAAAGCCTCTAGAAGTTCCGGAAGGTACAGAGGCCGACTAGCAACTGTTAGCCAGGAGAAAATTTTCTGGGCCGTCTCAACATCCTGCAATGGGATTTGTTGCAGCGCCCTTTGGTAGAATGCATCAATGCTAGCTGGTAATGAGTTGACCAATTGTGGCAGATTTAGGTGAGATTCCATCCGTTGGATTTGCTCAATGGCCAATGCCAGCCACAAAAAAGTTCCATTGGCGCGCGAGCACAGCTGCTTCGCGAGAGCCAAGGTATGCACGGTTTTTTTCGTGGAAGTCCTGAAGATATTCGCCAATCGAATTCTGGCAAAACTCAACATGTCCTGCTGAAGTCCTGGCTCAGCGCTCAAGTCAATCTGGATAATATCCTCAGGGCCGATCCTAGCCTCGCACCTAGACCGACTTGATATAAGACATCTGAAAATGTGTGATTTCTCCCTTGACCTGTTGGCTCGGAGGATCTCGTGCATGATGACTTTTTCGATCGATTCATCATCGTCGAGACCATCAAGTATCAAGAACACTTGTACATGAGTGTTTACACTTACTATAAGTCCCCTAAGTTTGCGCTGAAATTGTTCCAGCGACATTGGATCCGTAAGCTTCTCGCTTTCTCTGATGACCGATTGCAGCAGGCGTTCTAGCACGATGGATCGCATACATCCTCTTAGTTGATAAGCGAATGCCTTCAATATGTATCGCGCCGAGCTGACTTGGCCTTGGCGTGAGTCAAAGAAGCAGAAAGCCACTGCGCATCTCTGCTCCTGTCGTTGCTGTAGGTTTTCAATTATTGCCGAGCAAAGCATGGATTTGCCTGCCCCAGGCCGACCTTTGAGCCACAGCAGAGGGTTCTCGGCTTCATTCGCCCATTTTCGGTATGCTTGAAGATTGAACAACCACTCGCAGCTGGTCGCGGATCGTTGCCTTAACCACATCTGCAGAAGTGACTGTTCGGTCTGGAGGAACCTGCGATGATCGTCTTGACTTCTCGCTGCTTCTATAAACATTTAGCCTTTGCTTACCCGCATTTTGAGATGTCCGTACCTTCGCTCAAACGATATATCGAGCGCTCGACATTGGCTCTTATAACATCTTGCGGTAGCGTCTTGGGAATGAAGTAATGTTTTTCGGCACTCTCTGAAAGCCAAGATTGAGGGACCATAGACCACAAGCAATGGTGATGGAGTACCTGACATGACCGTAAGCTTGAACGGAAAGCAAACCGAGGCTCGCAAAGATATCACTACAATATCAGCAGAGCAAATACGAACCTTGGCTCCGGGACATGGAGTTGATGTCTCCTGACAAAAAAAAACCCGTATGTATGGCCGATCAGGCCTACAGCTTTCTCGGGCGAATCGGGCTGATTGCCCATCGACGTCTGCGATCTGTCGCATTTGAGGTGTCGAGTGCGTGCGGTTCGAGCCATCTAATGTCTCTAGCAGGCTTGCAATCGAGCTTTGTACAGGGCTGGCGTGAGGAAAGCCGAGGAAAATCTATGGCAGTCTTAGCTCCATTTTTTGGCTTCCTGTGTTCGGCATGTTTGGGGTCAGACTATTCCGTATGTTTCCCTAGATAACGCATGCAATTCTTCCTCTGACTCACTCAAAAGCAAAGCCTGTAAGGAAGTCAATGATGCTCAGCTTCAGGAGAACTCTGCGTCATACTTCCTCTACCACAAGACCGCCGAGACCCTGGCAGACAAAGAGCAGGGGTCGAGGGAGACCATCGCCTTCGTCTATAGCGTTCTCAGATGAATCTATCAACGGCTTGACGAGCGAATGTGTTTCGAGCTTTGCCCACTCGGACAACAAACCATGCGCTGCATGGTTTACAACTTCGACTGGAGAGTCCCGAGAGCTTTGATCATGATATCTGTAGTATAGAGATCGCGTCTTTATGGAATGTCTTGGGAAAGCCTCCTTGAACCATTCTGAATGGCCAAAAGATTCTTCCCAATCTTGGAGATTCTGCTCTATCGGATTCTCAACAAAAATGATGCTATTTGAATGGTGAGTATGACAAAGGTTGAGACGGAGATAACAACATACTCGACAACAACATCTTCATTGCTCTGCATTTCCACAAACTCAGCCATAAGGACGACTGCCACAAGGCTGTAGAAAAACTGGACGGAGGCCGAGACATATATTCACAGTGGTGTAAGGATCACACACTGCTCGGCAAGGGATTGGATAGTGATGAAAGTACCTTAGTCTTGAATCGAGTTCTTAGCTACGGTAAGCGCCCCATAAAAGACGTACGCAGAACCGGCACCTTCTGCAGCCTTGCACTGATGGGTGTAGCCTTGCGCACGATGTAAGCCTGTACACACCAACGCCCCGTTTTGCCTGCGCAAAAATACGTCATGCTCTGTGTCCCAGTGGTCAATCTGAGGCGCAATAAGCAAGCGAGGAAGCGAAAATACGCGACCATGCAGGAGATCGGTAGGAGATAGGCGATGCACATGCGAAGCG